CCATGGCCTGCGACGGCCGCGTGTCGGCGATGCTCCGCCGCAACCTGCAGCCCACGCTCACCTACTGGAGCGTCTTCTTCAGCTTCGGCCTGTGCATCGCCTTCCTGGGGCCCACGCTGCTGGACCTGCGCTGCCAGACGCACAGCTCGCTGTCCCAGATCTCCTGGGTCTTCTTCTCGCAGCAGTTCTGCCTCCTGGTGGGCAGCGCCCTCGGGGGCTTCTTCAAAAGGACGTGAGTGCGGCCCGCCGCGCCTCGGCCCCCGCCCTCTGCTCTTCCCTCCCGCCCCGGCCGCGTCCCAACCCCCCACAGCCCGAGGGGACGCCGACCCTCCCTTCCCGCCGCCGCCCTCCGCCCCTGGAGGCTCCCAGCCTTTGCGCCTCTTTAGCCAAAAGGCTGACTCCCGTCCCCAGCCCAACCTCGCCAGAAAACTCTCCAGGGAATGTAGGTGACTTGTGGATGCTTTTTACAGCGGCAGATTACCCAATAAACGAGGTAAACACAGGCTTACTTGTGCTTATTTTCCAATTTGGGGGAACCCATGTGAAATTGTTCGGTACGGATTAGTAATTAAGCACAAGTCAACCCATGCTAACCTTGTTTACTGAGTACTCCAGCCCTGCCAGGGATTGCACATCTGAAAGATGGAACGTTCTGTAGGAAAGGGCTGAGGACTTGGAAGAGAAGGCAGATGCCAGCCGTACTCAGAAGTAGAGTCTCTGGTGTAGTGAAAAATGGGAGTGTGTTCACTGCAGATTAGGAAGTAAGCACAAGGAAGCCCGTGCTTGCCTTCTTATTTGGATAATCTGGCACTATGCTTCGCTCACCCCTGAGAGAAGTTACACTTGTTTTCAGCCCACTTCTCCCACCTGTCCCTTGGGGGAGAGGAAGTGATGGAGTTTTAAGCGGTGGGGAGGAATTTTGGTCGTGTCCCGTGCTCCTGGGGCGTACTTAGGAGTAAACGGAAGGCTGTTCTGAGTGTTAGCCCAGGGACAGTGCTGGATGCTAGAGCTGGCCTGTGGCCACCTGGGTAATCAGCAGTTGACAGAGGCTTTGCCTTCCCCAGGTGGACACGGGGCTGGTGGGTCCTATATGGTTTTAGTTCAGCCAGTACCCCCTTCCCGCATGAGCACCTGCCCTGGCGCCAGCACACTGCTACCTCTGAATTAGCAGGACCTTGGGGCTAGAGCCAGATGGGAGAGGAACAGGGGTCTCACCCAGTCTCCAGGGTGCCCTTCTTGCTCCCTGCTGATGTAACTTCTTTCTGGTCTGGCCCCTCAGAGAAACCACCCCTTTGCATACCTTTCTAGCTCACCTTGGTCTGAGTAGCGTTGGGGAAGGCATTTTCACAGCCCTCATCTCTCCTCCTCCATAGCCTTGTTGGAAAGACAGCAAGATTTGCTTTCCCAGTGCAGATGGGAAAGCAGAGACCCAGAATGGGCAAAAAGATGATGTGGAAGCCAGAGGCTGATGCCCTGAATTCGCTAGCCCCAGCCATACAGTGTCCTGGATTGCACTGAGTTAAACATACAGAGGGCCTTAGGAAGAAACCACAGCACGCTCTCTCAGAGAAACCTCTGAAGAGACATTTCTGGGCCAGGCTGCAAGCCAGCACTGCCCTGAGCTGACACTCGCTCTTTTCCCTAGAGGTTCCTTAGAGTGAGTCAATTCCAACTCATAGCAACCCTATAGAACAAGGTAGAACAGTCCCACAGGGCCCCTAATCTTTACAGGTGAAAACGGCAACATCTTTCTGCTACAGAGCAGCTGGGAGGTTCAAACCACTGTCCTTTGGAGTAGCAACTGAGCTCTTAAACACTGCACTACCAAGGGTCCTTCGGAGACCTCCAAAAGAATGGAATGTCTACTCAGTTGATACTGATGAAGAGGAGGACAGGTGTCCACATAGGAACCCTCACATTTACAAAACAACTCTAATTAGAGAATTATTATCCTATTACTATGTCAGCTTCTAAACAATGTCCCTCTCTTAAATACAAATGTCCTGTATACACCCTTTTTTCTGGGGTTTGTACAGGACTTTTGTGATTTGGGTCTGGAGGTTTCAGAAAAGCTTAAGATGCATTTTGCCTAGTGACTTAATAGGAAATGAGTTTATTATCTTTAAATAGCAGGGTGATTTTATTTCCCCCCCCCAATTATAGTTTTTACTTGTAAAAGCTCCCTTACCCAGAACCTTTTTAGGAACAGGTGTTGTGAAAAGAACAGGAAGGGAAATGAAGATGATTTAAAACGACAAGTTGGCTCGCCTGGTTTGTACACACCAACTGGGCTCTTCTTCATGACTTACTGCCTGCCTCGAGCTCCTTATTCAAGGAGGGGTGCAGGGTGGAGGAAGGGGGTGTTGAACTTGCTGGAGGCTGGAGTTCGTTAAGGTGCAGAGGGTCCTGCGATGGGAAACTGGCTCACAGAAATGAAAAATGTCAGTGGAAACAGTATTAACTTCATTAAGTGCTTCCTGTATGCCTGTCATTGTTCTAAGCGCTTAATTTGCAGCCATTCATTTGATCGTAAGAACAGCTCTGCACAATAGTATTGCTATATCTACTTTATGTATAAAGAAACTGAGGCATTAAGAAACAAAGCTTCTTGCCCAGCTATTAAGAAGCCCAGCTTACCTTTGTACCTAGTCATTGGCTCTAGAACCAGATATTTTGGAAATGCCTGTTGTCAGTGTCTATTGTCAGCTGATTCAGCAGACCCTCTAGCCAATTTTCAGAGGCAGTAATTCTTATGAGAGGAGAGTCCCCATTTTTCTCCCTGGGAGCAACAGTGGATTTGAACCTCATGCCTTTGGGTGGGAAGCTCTGGTCTTTACCCACTAAGCCACCAGAGTTCTCTTTGGAAATAAATGCCTATTTTTGTTGTTGGTATATACCATCGAGTTACTTGCGACTCATAGCGACCCCATGTACAGTCGCCCTGAAACCTGCTCTATCCTGTGCCAACCTTACAGTCTCTGACACACTTAATCTTATTACCCTAGTCATTGAATCAATCTATTTCATCAACCGGCTTCCTCTCTCGTGCTGTCCCGCCACCTTTCCAAGCATGATGTCCCTCTCCAAGGACTGGTCCCTCCTTGCAACATGCCCAAAGTACGTTAAATGAAGCCTCAGAATCATTGCCTACAAGGAGCAGCCTGGTTTCACCCCTTCTACGATGAACCTGTTTCTTCTCCTGGCAGTCCATAGTATATTCCGTACTCTTCTACAGCACCCCCACTCAAAGGCATTGATTCTCTTTCTGTCATCCCTTGTCATTGTCCAGTTTTCTGATGCATAGCAAATAATTGCAAAGACTATGGCCTGGATCAGATGCACCTTAGTCTCCAGATTGACGTTGTTGCTCTTCAGTATTTTGGAGAGGTCCCTGACAGCAGACTTTCCCAGTGCAATTCATTTTTTGATTTCCTGGCTGTTGGAAATGCCTATTGCTTTATAAATTGCGCAACTCTGCAGACCAGATGAATATATGAATATCCTTGTGGAGGTGGTGGTTGTGTATTGTAGAGTCAGAACTGCCCCTTAGCTGACCCTCCAGCAGGTTTTCAGAGCCAGTAAATTGCATGGGGGAACTGCCCATCCTTCTGCGAAGCAGTGTTTGTATTCAAACCACATGCCTTTGGGACTGCAGTGCAGTTTCCACTGCTCCCACTAGGCCTGTGGTAGTTCCTGAGTGCCTGTCCTCCTCAGAAAGGAACTGGGGTTTCTGGGGCCAAGATCCAACCCACACACCTTCAAGGCCTAGAAGTGGTTCAGGTTTAGATTCTGAAGCAAAATTTAGATTCCCTCACGCAAAATGTCCTAAAAGAACACTTAGCTTTGGTAGAGAGCAAAGCCGACTTCTCGTGGAAATAGAATAGGGCACAGGCTGGCCTCTCACATAGACAGAATCCATTACTACCTCGCTGTGTGGAGTGGTTCATCATAATCCCCCAAAACAAACAACCTCCCCCAGCCCTACAGCCTACCTCAGAAGCCTGGTTCCTAAGGGCCACCCCACTTCACTTCTCAGTTAAAATACTAATACCGCTCACTGAGAGTGATTTTCAGCTTAACTGATGACTGGCTCACTCTCCCACTCCTCCTAGCTCCTGGCGGGTACTGGTGAGTGGGGGATCGGTTTAACAAATCTGTGAGGGACAGCTGTGTCGGGGGAGTTGGGGAGAGTGCAGGATGACACCTCAGAGAAGAGGGTGGGGCACTGTTCCTTTCTCTGCAATTCTTGCTGCCTACTGCTTAGCCCAGACAGAAGATCTAAGCTGAAGCAAGCTTCTGGATGCTTCCTTAGGAACATACGTGTGTAGGGAGAAATTGAAATCATAGCCAGAGCCTTGGGTGCTGGGACAGGTGCAGAACAGGATTTGAGCTCTCTGTACCCTCAGCTCTGGTAGCACCAACCTCCTTTCTCATATGGTGTCTGTCTCTCATATGGTGTCAGGCTCTGTGTTTGTCTCTGGGGTCTGGAGCATAGTAGTTCCAGAAGGAGGTCCCCACATACAGGCCCAGAGAGGGGTGTAACTAGTGGGCTGAGAATTTGGACTAGACCTTTCTTTGGGAAACCTTGCATACCATGAGATAGAAAGTCAGAAGAGGAAAAATACCAAAGCTTGACTGTTTGGCAAGGAAGCTCTGCTTCGTCAGATTGGGAAAGGGAGGGAGTAGTCAGGGAAGAGGTTAGATTTTTCTGTGGTGTGTTGGGGACCTGTGGAACCACTCCAGGCAGTTGGGAGACCCCTTTATCTCAGCGACATCAGTGTAGATAATGGCTTTCAGACAGCTAACCTTTTGCTTGCACGCTCCCTCAGAATGAAGGCTGTTTGGGGTTGGTTCTTGTTCTCTTTGCCCCACTCACTGACTCCTTCCCAGCTTTTTCTTTTTCTCTCATATTCTTTTCAGCCTGCCAGTGCTGCCCTGCCTAAGCCCTAGCTATAATTCCTTTCTACTTCTTGCATCAAAGCCATCTTCCTGCCCACTCTCTCCCAGGCCACTCTCCAGGGATGGGGATCTCTGCTTCTGCAGGTTCCTTTTCTGGGTGACCTGTGGCCCAGCTGACCACTGATGGTCCCAGGCACACGCGTGACCCAAGTATACCTCTGTCCTCTGAGCTGGCCTGTGTTTGGTCTCCTCATCTAGAAAGCTTCTGCTTGATAATGAATGGGTTTGGGGCTTTTTGTTTGTTTTGTTTTTTTTAGAAATACATTCCAAGTA